TTTTTATAGTGATAGGAAATTAAGTGAAAGACTTTGTCCCCTCCATATCCCCCCCAAATACTCATTAATCGTTATCACCATTTTATACATTAATGTTACAAAAAAAAATCTGTGCATTCTTTTGAATTATGAATATTTTTGTATTTACTTTTTCTTTATTAGTACTATACGGCATAATACTTTACATAGTACGTACATGTACATCACGTACATTAATATTATAGTTTGCTAATAATGAAAACAAACAAATTTTTTAAGATGTTGTTAATAAAAATTAAACTAGCGATTCTTGCGAAGGCTACAGTAATATATTTAATATTAATTCGATACCTATCTTATGTGAGTTTTACTCAATTATATTTTGTAATAAATAATTTGCATGTACTAAAATATAAATTCAACAATTTCATGAACCAATAAAGTTTTTCTAACTGTGGATATAACAATAATATACTTAATACTTACGTTGATTATTAATTAACTTAAAATCCTACTCAGTCAAAGATATTCTTTATTAGTAGATAATATGTGTTATTTAATATATTATCGTCACTAATGATAGACATCCGATAGATATCCGAATTTTATAGGTTATCCGGATTATTCAATTCAATTTTACTTTTCAATTACTTATTTTATAATCATATAAAAGTACTGATATCACTATAAGTCATAGTAGTACAAAATAAACTCAACAATTTTAAAACTTATTTTGGTAACTATTAATAAATTATAAAAAAATGTTAAAGTCATAATAAGTATACTGTATTTCATAAAACAGAATATTAACATTTTATTAAATTTAAACTAGAATAAAATAAAATAATTTATTTTACTATAAATTAAAAATAATAATAATTTACATAAAAAGTAAATCCACATATCCGAATAATCCGAACACTTTGTCAAATCCTGATAAGAATTAGATTCAAATCCAGATTCGAATATTTAGGTATTTGGAAAATTCAGATCTTCGTATTTCATGCCCATCCCTAACCGTCACATCGCCAATCATTACATTTATATCAGGACTATATAGAATGCAAATGTAAATTAGTCGAAATCAGTTTTTAGCCGATTCGTTAGTGGTAACTAATTATAGTAACTTATATAAGGTTGAGATTTTTTTTTTAACTTGCAGGATACCAACTTTTTGAAATATAATATTGTGAAAAAATCGGGATGTTGATGTCCCGCTATATTATAAGTCAAAATTAAGGAAACATGGCATATACGTCCCGCTAAGAATTGAAGCGGGATACAGGACTATAGTATATGAAACATCGGAAATGTCCCGCCAAATCGAAAGAAAAAATAATATCTATAGTAGTAGGTATATATTTAATACATAATTTTAAATGTTCCATGTATAATATTAGTTATATTAATAAAATTATATATAAAATATAAGTATTTAAATCATAAAAATTGGTTTTTAGTTTTCTATCAATAAGCATTATACTAATATTTTTATAATATTATTTAGTTTTAATATATAATTTATAATCATAGTATTAATTAAATTTATATTAAAAGAAAGATTACAATAATAGTTGATACATACATTTAAAATTATATATGGTTTGACAATACTAATGTCACAGAACTCAAAAAACGTTAAATACATTACTTACAAAACTCAATTTTACAAAACTTTAAATTTAAAACCATAAATAAATTTCTAGGAATATAGGTAGACCAACCGATATCCATAGTTTTTTAATATATTGTCAATAATGATTATCGATTACTAGCGCATTGCCATTACGCATATCAATAATTTTAATGCTAGACTTGTAAGCATGATTTGGCTTTATTGAGTGCAGGTTTCAATTTAATCAAAGTAGCAGTAATTTATCGAATCGAGATTTTTTCTCGTTAAAGTCAAGACTGTAAGTTTATAGGTAGTATATTAAATATACTTTTATTTCGTATTACAATAGATGGTAAAAATTAATAAAAGTTAGTGATTTATTAATTTTTTTTTATCATGTAATTGTTAATTATTATATTATTAAATTTTCGTAGAATAATTATTAAGTAAAAATCCCAACTAAAATACTAATACAATCAAAAAAGCATCTCTCAATAAAATATTTTCGAAAAGTAAATTAGACTATTGTAATATTTATTTTTTTTATAACTATACATTCAACGGAAAACAAAGCATAAACCTCAAGATTTTTTTACAGAGTTAGATTCGAAATCCGATACCGCATATATACAATAAAATAACAAGATGATAAATCAATACGTGCGTGCCTTGTTGCTGCGTGGGAGAGTATTTACATTGTGGGCGTAGGTATGATTAAAAGTTGGTAAAAGAAATTTTCTACACGACAATATAATTTTAACATTTTTAAATTGATAAAAATCATAGTAACTGTTTAAATTATACTCGCACAAAATCAAGTGACAGAAAACGAATTTATGCTCTCCTGGACAATTTATAAAGAGTGGATATGTACGTAAATTTATTACACTAAATGTAACGGTTTTCTTCAGAAATCATTGAGAAAACTGTTAAACGATATTCAATATAAGTTTAAGTTTACACTGAGGATGTGTTTTATTTTTTTAATGTAAATGCAAACTTGAAAATTTCAAAATTCGTTTAAAATGAGCCACTCAAATTTAAAGAATAATTTCAAAATAAAACTATTTTGCTTAGTGTATTCCGTCTATATAAATTAATTTTTAATAAAACGCTTACGACACTAAATAGTTTGATATAAATAACAACTTTGACATGTAAATACAAGATCTGCAAAAAAAAAAAAATATCTCTATGACCTACGTCACAAGATATATATTGGTATAGGTATTCACTAAATTGATGGGCTCACATGATGTATTCGTATAACGAATAGTTCATACAAATTCGAGCAACCGATACTAATATGTAATTAATTAATTATTAATTAAGACTTTCAACAACAAGAACGATAAATTGCACAAAGTAATAATTTGTATAAGAAACCAATCGTATATAAGAAAATTGAATTTATTAAGTTTATATTTATCCAAGTATATTTAATAAATTACATTTTTTTATTTTATCAGAATACGTAAAACTATTTTATATATTTTTTATTTTTAAGACACGTTTGCATCTTTTGTATATGTTTTCATATATTTCAATTTAAAAATATAATAAAATACTTATCGCTGTTTAGTGGTGTAGAAAGATTCACTAGTGCACCTTGCAAACTTAGAAGAAAACGACTTTTAACCAATTAAAAATTTGATGTAATGATATTTTTTTAACCTTTAATTTTACTAATATTTCTTAAGAACAAAACTTATATCTATAAGTTATTATTATAGTGTATTTTTTAAACTTTGAAAATTTGCTGTTCTCGTTTAAAGACTGGAGTATTCATAATGGAAAAATTTCGTTTTGAAAGGTATAATGAAAATATGACAAACACAATTTTGCGCCCCTGACGCAGGCACAATTCACCATACCCTCGCTACGCAACTTTTTCTGTTATATAAATATTTTATTTAAGTGAGTACTTATTACGAACCAATTTATTAAGTATATAAATAAAAAAGTATAAATTATAATAATGACAATTATATTAAAGAGACAAATGTGATGGTTGACTGTTAATAGTTGAATGTAAATATAAATATATTTATATTTATTATGCATACAAACTGTATCAACATATTAATTTTAGAATACACTTAAATTTTAAACTGTTGGCTAAGGTCTACATGCGTGTATACGTCTTAACTCTTAATTATGGTTAATTTTTCGATGACTTTTCTTTTACACGTCATTAAATCGTCAATCAATTCAATTGCATTAAATTTCAAATCAACTCATTCAACTCGATTGTAATCTATGGTATTTGTTAATAAGCTTAAACTCCATGTTCATAAAATGTTGTATGAGAAAAAGAGTTTAATTGATACAAGAACAAAACCTATAAGAACACTCTGATTTAGAAAGGTTAAGCTTTATACACATAGACAATACAAATAACAATAACTTTACGTATATGAAAACCACTTGTTTAAGTTAGTTTTTGTTCTAATGTTTTAGCAAATTGTTATAGATAAATAGAATATACGAAATTCCGTTGAATATTTGAAAAGGTTTCACGGCACACCGCAAGTATGTGCGAAACTCGGAGCCAAAGGTATGCAGAATTTTCTCACATCATCTCCGCATAGACCTTGCCAATAGTATACGTTTTAATAAGCAACTTGTGTAAAATATTCAGTTCTTTGTCGGTGAATAATACGTCAGCCATAGACGTGTTACTGGGGACTTTTAAATTGGAATACTTGTAAAATAGTAACATATTTAGCGAAAAATCACAACCATCCACCGATTTCAAATGAATATTAGTGTCCATATTAATGACACGTCTGAACGCCATTGCTCGGAGCCCTATATAGTCACGGTATTTTTAAACAGTTTTCGCATCTCATCAATCAGCTGACCGGCCGATGGACGATGTTTGACCGGAACAAGAAACTATACAGTGGCGACTAACCGGTGAGTCGGAGCATCTGAAACATCCCTTTTTATAATTTATACACGAGTGGGTTTTTCTTCCGACGTAGGTACCGGTCCGCAACACCGGGCCGACATAGCCTATCAGTTGTTGTACATGCGTTCGGTAGCTCGGGTCGAGATAGGAAGAGGAGACCGATAGTTCGCATGCAGAACACCTACGCGTTAAACGGATCCGAAGGAAACGTGGGGTGGGCAACGTAATTTTTTCATATTTTTTTTTTTCATTTTTTTTTTTCCGTAGCACCCGTCGAGCTGTTAAGATAATAGGCCGCCCGTCGCTGGAGCTGCCGCGTGCTCGTAGGTCGGGTCGCGTCGACAGCGGCGGCGAATCGGCTAACGGGCGCGCGCGACGCTACCGCGACGGTGGTAACGAACGTTATTATTATCGTCCCACTTGTTACCGCTACCATTACCACTATTATTATTATTATTATTATTTTTTTCCTTCTTCCGAATCGTGTCGTGCGCGACGGCCACGATATTGCGCTGCCAAGGCGCCGCGCGGTCAGTCTGTGCCAACGTGCGATTATGTACAAACCGGTGTTGGGCATCGTGCTCGTACACGTTGCCGTCCTCGTCGCGAACTCGGCGCGTCCGGCGCGGTCGTCGCCCGCACAAAACATCGATCCCGGAGTCGCTTTTCGTGCCACCGCCGTCGATCCCGCAGCAGTCGAGACCGTCACGGACAATTTCACGGCTACCATCGTTACCGAAGGTACGTGTAATTTTCGACACCCTGGGACACGTCGAGTAAGGACGGGTCGGCACGATGTTTGTCGTCCGTCCGACCGTAGCGAAAATCGCACCGTGTGCGCATTGTCAACGTACCTTTGCTTTCGTGTTACACGTTTCACGTCGTTTTAACGGGCATCCGAACGGAACAACATGAAGAAGTCGTGAGATTTTTGCAAAAACTTGAATTGTACAGAGATTTTAGGGAATTCTTCGACGGTCTTTGAAGTAATAGTCTCTCGGTCAGATCTAACGTTTGAACACCAAGATTTTTGACGTTTAGCTGTGCAACGTGTTTTCGCAATGATACTGTTTCGCGTTTGACGAAACAAAGAGAACCGAACATCAGATGATATCTGCCAAATCGTTTGTCTTCCATCACCCTTCGCGATCATTGCGTACAATTTTAAACGCGGAAAAAGTTCTCTTTTGTTCTTTCGCACTTGTAACAGTTTTTACCATCGTTTTTCCTTGCCCGACCGATCGGGTTTTCTTTTATTTCCTCACCGTTTTCATATAGCCCTTGCTCCGCGAAATTACCGGTATAGTCGTTATGGATGGGTAGCGTGATAAACCGCAACAACTCGTTTTTTCCAACTGTCCCTGAAATAATAAATTCGAGTCCTGCTCCGGTTAGGAATCCTAAGGATATTGAACTTCGACACGTTACCAAATATTATAGTTCGGCGGGCCACATAAAACGATTTATTTTTTTTTTATTGATATTATGAACAGTTTTATTTAGTGTAAAACATCATTGAAATACTCGTTTTTGAACTAGATTAAATCCTATAACTCTTTTGTCTTCATTTCACACTCCACCCGCAGACGAAAGTTAGGATTGCTGAGTAGGTATCCGAATACGTGTTATTAATACTGTCACGTACAGTAGATATAGAATTATATAGATGTGAAACAATTAGCCATATTTTTTTATGTTATAAACCTATAAGTACTGTATAAATTTATAAATAACAGATAATTTAGCTGACCACACAATCCACGGTATTAATTTAACAATAACAATATAATCAATTAATCTTAAAGGATTGACACAGGAAGTTATTATGCCTATGATAATAATATATAAGTATATATTCTTAAAATATTATAATTTTTGATAATGAGCCATGATGTACAATGATCACTTAAGAATATTTATATTTGTTTATTTTAAACTATTTTAACGTTATTAATTATAAATAACGTTAAAATAATTTAAGTGTTTGTTTGAAAACACAAAGTTATTATTAATCAGTAAAGTAACTAGTTAATTAAAAACAAATAACTTGTTCAAAATTGATTAGATTATATTAAAAATGATTTTTTTTTTCAAAGACATAATTAATTATTATTCACACACATTGAAATAGTGGGTATTGTGTGGAAATATTTAAAGTTTATATACATTTAAAATACTTATAAATAATAACGAATTAATTTTGTGTAGCTTATTACAATAATATTGGTGAATGGATAACTTAAACAACAGTTTTACCTTACTAAACTTTTCTACTTATTACATTATTTATATGTTGGTGTTATATACAAAACAAATTTTGTACATCGAATCATTTAAATACGATGAACCGAAGTTATAGATGACATAAATTATCTAAGAATAGTTCATAATATTGATTTCGAACCATTTAAAATGCATCAATATCCTATTATGAATGACTAATAAGCTTTTACGGTTATAAAACAAATTAACACGTTATGAATCATGAGTTATTATGAACATCCATTTAACTTATTTTTTTATTTTTTTTTTTTAATTTGCCTTTGTTCGCATACTACAGCAAATTTTAACTTACAAAATACAACAATTGTAGTTTCATGCGAGCTAGTGGTTATGTATGTTAAATCTTTGATATAATGGTTGTATACTATGTTTATAATGTCATCCATCTATGGTACATATTGTAAAAATATTATTATTCATTACAAATGAATAATAATTTTTAAGGAGCATTGCTTTCTTTTTTTGGTTACCTATAGCATTTCAATGGTATGTGTATCAATATTTTTTTGATGAATCTGACAAGTAAAATAAAATTGGCCTGAAGGGAGATCAAATATTATGATCTCCAAAAGGTATGCGTTGATATCATGTATCATATATTGTAAAATTGTCTGTTGTTCTATAATGTGTGCATAAATGTATACATAGATTTAGCAAAATGTGTATCGTTTAATAATATTTAATTTATAATCAGACGTAATAAAAACCAGTCAGAGAATATACTTCCTTTTTAATTCGCTAGTGGCAAAGTTATAGTAAAATAAACGAATTAAAACTTTTCGAGGCACACATACTTTTAGCTGTACTAAAGCGTGTTTACTTTACACACATTTTTCAATCAAAATTATACAATGGTGTTCAATCGTATTATCAAATATTAAAGTGTTATAATAATTTATATGCTTATATTATTATATTATCCTTCATTGCTTATATTTTGATGGTCGAAAATTTTACTATAAACTATACATATATGTAGGTATATAAAATAATCCATCCATCAATAATTAACCCCTTGTAATCTTATTTGCAATTATTATAACCGTATGGAAAAAAAACCAAGATATTAGTTGACCTTGAAATATTTCACTTATCCATTAATGAAAGCAGTATTTGTTATATATTATATAAGTATCAATGTAAATAAATTAGTTGAGAACAATATTCCTTATATATGTTACCATAGATAATAAGGCTCTTAAATTTTCTTCTGTGTCACTTTCGTATTAGAAATAGCCAATTAATCAATGATAGGAAAATTTTTTAACTGAGTTGTTTAAGTTCCCTGGAAAGTTCTGGTTGTTATAGTTATTTTTTTTTTTTGTTTTATGATAATACAATTCTATATAAATAAGAAAAAATTGTTTAATCATTCATTAATTTTATTGGATAAGTGTATATGAAAAATAACTCAATAGTATAAACGTGCAATTTAATGAAAATAAAACCAGTTAACATACTTGATGTTTCGCCTGTCAACTAGGGTAAATCTATATAGGTATATATTATACTTTCATAACAAAATGTTTGTAATTTAATTATTGTTATTATTAATACTATTATTGGTGTTGATGGTAAACGATTATCATTAAATAAAAAGTCTTAAATAAGATTAATTAAAATAATATTTGGTATAATTACCTACTTTTATTTCTCGAGGTTAAGAACCTTGAGACATTCTTTCCTGTTTAAAATCTGGAATTATAGTGCTTTATAAAATGTAAATATGACTGTAAGAGAGTAATATGTAGTACTATAGTGTATTGGTAGAAGTATGTACCTGTATTAAACCCGTAGGCTATAGCAGTCCCCATGTATAATGGTATGTGATAAATATATGGTATGTACATTACAAGTTTAATAGGTAAAGGATGTTCATTTGAACATTAGTTTAATAATATATTTGTTTATGTTTAAACGCTATTTTTAGAGTAAATTTATTAGTTTTAATCAGAAGACAATATATTTTTTCGATTTATTATTATTTTTTTTTCTTAATTAATTATTTTTTTGAATCGAGTTTTTGCTTTGTTTTTGAAATTGCATTGGAATTAATAAAAATACTTCATTTTAAGATTTTTAGTAAATTTATAATGGATTAATAAAATTTAGTTCTATTAATTTATAAATATTTAATTTTACGCAAATAAAAAAAAGAGAACAAACTATACATATTTTTAATATTTTTAATTTAATATTGGTGTTTTGACGGTTACATAAATTTAATTTAACTCATAAGCATATTACTAATATTAGATTAAACTAAATTATACTACATTTTTACAAAAATTTATTATGTTGTAATGTATATAATCCTTAATTTACATAATTTTAAATTTTAAAATAATACTTTGAACTGTGCAAAACTTTAACGAACATTTTCAAATTAAAAATAAAACAAATCCGCATGAACGTACTAACAGAATATTAAGTTACTGAAGACATGTATTAAATTTTTTAAAATTTCATTTATCTAAAATTTAGATTCAATATATTGTTAGTGTAAAACCACATTGGTATTGGCGTTGAATTTTTTTTTTCAAAAAACTTTGAATTTCATGATGTTACTGATGTTCTCGGACTCATTGAACCACCGAACTTTAATATAAATGTATTACACGTACCTACATGATGTAAAAATCTCGATTTATTGTAATAAATATTATAGACTTTTATAAAGCGTTAAATAATCTTAACTTAATAAATAAATATTTTTCATTCTAAAAGCCAGAGCTCGAATACAAAATGCTTCAGTAACAAAACACTATGTGTAATAATATACAGAAAATAATCATCATTAAATAATTTTAAAACACTTGGTTATTATTATTATAAGTGTATGGCTATCCAGTATGAAATGATTAAATGTATAATTGCACTAGATATAATATATTTACTAATTACTTCGTCAGGTATTATAAATCAATAAAAACTATTACATTGGAACTATTTTAGAGTTACAACAAGTAGATACACCTACTTATAAAATAATATACTACATGAACATACGGAGAAAATACTACCTCAGCAAGCATGTATACATTGTGTTAAGTTAGATTTTGACGTTGTAGATATATAGATAACATTGTACTATAAATAAAGTTATGAAATTGAACACTCTTAAGCAAAACTGTTAACAGATTTAAATGTTTGCAACATATTAAAAATTGTGTAAATACTTTATTTTGTATGGTTTATTCACTGTCGAATAATCATTTTGAACAGAGATTATGTATTTTAAAATTGTGTTTTTACGAATTTAATTTCAGAACAGTAGTTTTTTCTTATTATTTCAAATAGTTTGGTAAGACTAACGTACAATTCATTATCATTCAGTGAAGATGTCCGGAACAAATGTTTTATTTCATCGCAACTTGGGTGTGTTATGACCACCATCAGTATTCATAGCGAGGAAAGAAAAATCATATTTGTTAAATTGTTTACCTAGTAAAAAATGC